TCACGTAGATGGTCGCCACCTTGTTCTGGAACACTGTGCCATTGGGACGCTCTCCATTCACTTGGATCGATACGCCCAGGGCATTAGGGCGCAAGAACAATTGGCTTCTTACCTGCTACACAATCATTCCCACCATCACCTTCAAAAAACTCAAAAAACAAAATAAAATGCGCCGCCCCGAGTGGCAAGATCGTTTCTACATGTGCAAGGGTGCAATGTAATATCCGATGAGAGCAACTTCCCTGGGATTGGATGCCTCACACTGGTTCAACAGTACTGGACTCACCTCCGCATGGTAAATGGCCATGACAGCCGTTAATGGCAATCTAGAAACTTGAGATAGTTTTAATACGATTAATGCATCAGTTATATATACACTGAAGAAGCGATCAACCATGCCGAAGCAATCTTTGGACCTGACGCATCTGCAAAAATCAAAAATCAAAAATCAAAAACTAAAATGTAGAAAATATTTTTCCACATACCTTCTCCAAAACAAAACTGTACCAGTCCTACGCGTTTTGTACGTACAGGAAAACAGTTGTTGTCGTTGAAACAGGAAATAAATTTAAGCCAACATGAAGGATAGCATCATCAACCCGCCGGAGAAGGACCCGAATTCAATCATGACTGTAGCTGACCAAGGTCAGCGAGGTCTCGAGGAAAAAAACCGATCAAATTCGACCACTCCATCGTCGATTGCTCTGACAAAGGACAATCCTGCCATCACGACTCCCAAGCGCATCAGCAAGCGAAACCCTTCAACAACCCCCGAGGATGGCGCAATGACAGGTGACTCGCTCTTCCCATCTGAAGTTGCCCAAGGTCAGGTTGGCCTCTCGGCCAAAGCTCAATTGAACTTGACCACTCCTTTGTTGATTGATCTCACCAAGGATAATCCTGATCCCACAAATACCAAGAGTCAACGCAAGCAACCCCCCCCTTCCAAAACCGCCGAGGATGGCACAGTGCAAGGACGGCCGCTCGTTGCCTACAACAAGAACCTCAAGGTGTCCAAGTTTCACAGGCTCTACAAGAAGGCTTGGAGGAAAGAGGTTTTTGGAAACCAGGCATTTATTACTTGGTCTTCTCGCACGGCGGAATCCTCTGGTCGGGCAATCTCCAAATGCCCTGGCTGGTGGGCCGATGTCAACATGGATCCATCTTCCGACGCTCAAACCTACGACGACATCGCTGCGTTCATCCTGACCGGCCTGAAGGCGTACGACCCTTCACTCGGCGGTTCGATGCCACAGCTTCGGTCCAGCATGCAGAATCTGTTCTCACTTGGAGATCTTGAAGACGCCGACAACGACAAAGGTTCCTGGGCTCTTTGCGAGTACTTTCTTCGTCTCGCGACACAGTGCCCCATGGTTGTGTTTGATCTTGCAACGGCCCAACGCATTATCACTACAGACAAAAAGTTGCCTCGCTTTTGGGAATTTTGCTCGTGTTTGACACAACATTAATTGTTCAACGTGCCAAGCCGTTGACTTGGATGTGGCTAGCGGCATCCAAATTCTTTGCTCATCCTTGGAAGGGCCCTGCGATCATTCCTCCCATGCTGCTTTTAGTCAGATAAGTTTGAACCACGTTGAGGCATTTTTCAAGAAAAAAATTGCTCTAGTCAATCATGTCAGGGGACAGATTGGCGCTCCCACTGTTGGTGGGGAAGTACAAACAAGGTGCTCGAATATCTCCTTGGATACAGAAGGAATTTTGTGGGTGTCGTTTCCAAGGAAAGAATTGAATGCAATTCTTTCTAGCCAGGACTGTCAATGGGCAGATCGGCGCTCCCACTCTGATGGTGAGGATTTGGAAATGGAGAACCAGAAATTCGGTCTGCTGTATCTTTTCCAGAGAAAGAAACAAGACAAATATGCTGTACAACATGGAGAGTTTGTGTTCGTAGGGGTTGTCCTTCACAAGTCAACCGTCAATAGGGTGGTAGAATTCGAGCGGGTTGTTGCCTCCAGACCTTCCTGAGCGTGCTCAGGTGCAGTCCTCGTCGATTTCAAAGCCATCTCTTGTGATTTGTTGTCATTCGGGCCCATGGTTGGTGGCCACTTCTGATGGGCAGCGTAGACATCATAAAATAGGATTGTTGTTGTGTGTAAATAGCTGAGAAGTTCTTTGTTCTGGTTCCAACCTTGTTTTGTTGGAAACGCCGTTGTCAAGGCATGCCAAACGATTTCAACAAATTCCATGGGTTCATTGCTTGGATTGAGGTTCTCGGGAGAATCGTGTGCCTTGGCACCTTTCAGGTTCGCTGGCGTGGATGCGAGTCGCTTCTTAAACTTGGACTGAGCTTTGGCTATTGTTGGCTCTCGTTTTAGTCGCTCAAATTCCTCCGCAATGTGAGGAATGATAGCAGGGACTGTCCAAGGATTAGCGAAGAATTCGGATGCCGTTCGCCACATCCAAGTCAACGGCTAGGCGCGTTGAACAATTAATGTTGGGTTGAACATGAGCGAAAATTCCCAAAAGCGAGGTGACTTTTTGTCAGTAGTGATAATGCGTTGGGCCGTTGCGAGAGCAAACACCTCCTGTCTCCAAGCCGTCTTGTAGAGCCTGCAAAACTGTGACACCTTGAGTTTCGTGATGTAGGCAACGGGCGATCCTTGGCGGTTTCTGAAGGGTGTCGCTTGCTGCTGCGCTTGGGAGTCGTGATGGCAGGATTATCCTTGGTCAGAGCAATCGACGATTGAGTGGTCAAATTTGATCGGGTTTTTGCCTCAAGACCTCCCTGACCTTGGTCAGCTACAGTCGTGATCAAGTTCGGAGCCTTCTCTGGCGGGTTGATGAGGTTATCCTTCATGATAAAGTAAATTTCTTTCCTGTTTCAGCAACAACAACTGTTTTCCTTTACGTACAAAACGCGTAGGACTGGTACAGTTCTGTTTTGGTGCTGTGCGTGGAAATATTTTCTACCTTTTAGTTTTTGATTTTTGAGTTTTGAGTTTTATGCCAACCATCCATCAATGGCACCAATAAAACCTCACAAAGCCCCATTGCCTGTAGATCAGTCATTCCATTCTTCCATTGCCTACTGGAGAGGCCAATCAAGGCAATTGCTGTCCCCGTAGAGGACATCGCATGTGTGTCGCTCATCGGAAGGTTGGAAGCCAAACAATAAAGCATTCTGCTGAAAACTCCTGGGCATATCAATGATATCCATGCTGTCGAAAGCTTCACCGTCTCTCCGACGATTGGCAGCAAATCATTTGCTTTTGGCAACTAATCTTGGAGCATGACTATGCCAGCCACAACTTTGGTATCAATAAAGATGAAAATATTGCAAATGTAAAAAACAGTGATGCGTGTTTGACCCATGCGACTACTACAATGCATGCAGGCCAAATTTTTGAATTTTGTATTATCGAAACGGAAACACGCATGCATTCTGCAGCAAAAAAATCAAAATGCAATGCACGCTGCATGCTGTGTTTATAGGATGTGCATTGACAACAAGAATAAGTCGTAAAACCTTGATGCCTTAAAATTAATTTTGTTGATGTGAAAACATCCAAGCAAACTATCGCTCAACGTATGCCTAACGTGCACATACAAATCGCTAGTGTTGTCGGCTTCAGTCAGCAAGCCAACCAGTCTCAGGTATGTCTGCCTGGCCTTAAAACACTCCTCTCAAGCTGGAAACGCGCTAAAGCGTAACAGATTGCAAACAGGGCAAGGACTCTGTTTCAAAGGTTGGACAAACAGTTCACAAACAAGGTTTTCAACAAAACAGGGTACGTGGTTTGGTCAGGGCTGGAGACCTACATCCACCAGTACATGGATATATCAAATCATCGATCAATATCATAGACATATCCAATCACACATCGATAAATATCATAGATACATTGAATCACCTATCGATCAATATCAAAACATAGAAATATTGAATCACCGATCAATATCATAGATATATCAAATCACACATTGATCAATATCATATATATATTGGATCACTCATCAATCCTTTCATAGTCTAACGTAGACAAAAGCTCCAGAACGAATCATTGGATTCCTTTCATCATACTGACGATGGTCGAACCACCGTCACAACAGCATTGCTCAGCAACACCAAGTCCGATCATTTTATCGAACTTGTGTGCGAGTATACGTCAAGAAATAAGGTTTATTTCTTTCTTTCCCTCCCTCCACATCCCTGTTGGGCCTTACATCGACGCATTCTCCGTCTCTGTAAGGCCTAGTAGGCAAGCAAGTCTTTGATATTCCGCTTCGCGGAATATCAAAGACTGGCGAGGGATGCGTTTGGATAAAACCATTCATCAGTCATTCGGCCACCCTGTCACGGATACCACCAAACCTGGATATCAGGTGACGTGCCCCGAGGATTTTGAACCAGAAGATCAACGAATGGAGGAATTGGAGCAACTTTTCGACCAGTGGAACGATCCTACTTTGACTTTCGCCCAGCGCATGAGAAATGGAGAAACAATGTCTCCTGGTTTTGCCCTTTTGGTCAGGAAAGGAGAAGATGGACAGCCGTGTCATATCATGTTTATTTCCAATCCGGTCTTGACCAAGCCAGATGTAATGGAACCCAATACTTTTGGAGCTCCGGCTCCCTTTGGGGAAATTGTCAATAATGATATTGCGCAAAAGTATGTAGGTGATCCTACAAAAAGGACCCATTGTCTTTTGGGATCGCTGTCCGGACATACTTTTGCCTCTTATGGAACCGGCAATCGTATCGATTTTTCAAACTCTCTCCTTCCCGTTTTGATGACAGACGGAGCTGCTATTGGAAATAAACCTTTCAACCGTGATGATTGGAAAATTCTGTTTTTTCCAGCAATGTCTGCTTGTCCTGTGGGATTTGTTTGGCCGGCGAGTGATGGTTTTGAAGCCTTTCAAGAGAGTATTACCAATCGGAAAAAGATATTCACTGGTCTTCTTCACCTATTGACGTCAAGGAAGACTATCATTGAAAATTGGTTCACTGCCGTTAAGGCCAGCCCTGCAAGTTTTGCGGTCCCAGTGGTGGATGCTCTGCCGTTTTGGTCCTGCTTTCCCACTGAGCATGACCCAGTCGACGCCCGTGTTTTGGATGTGGCCTTACTAGCTCCATTCCAAGAACAAATGGATCGTTTCCTTTGGAGCCACTTGATGCAACTCATATACAGAAGTGGATCCTTACCTACGTCGACTCTTGGGTTCAAGATGCGTGCTCGGGTCAGGATGCATAATATGCGCGTGGCGGAGTCTTATCCTACTGCCTTGGGTATTACTTTACCACCTGAGTGTCAGGCCTTTGTCAACTACCTCTTCCCTTTTGAGGATGAAGACAAGGGATGGGATGGTCGTATCCCTAAATGGTACAAGACGCTTGATTTAGATTCTGGAACTGAGGTTCCGGACTCGTACTTGCAATACACCCCTCGCCCGCTGCCGTCATCTGCTCAAGATCCTGACGATTATGTTACACAGAGGTTGACATTGCCTCCAGTAGCACCTCCTGCCGCTTTGCAACCGATGGATGATGATCTTGCGGAATTCCTTCAGGCTACCAAGCGACACAAGCCCAATTCCCGTCGATCACCGGTCCATCCGCCAGTTACCCCCGCTCCAGAAGACTCTTTTGTCTTGACGGAGGCAGGAAACTTCGAAGATGGACATGGTACTAATTATGTACCCCATGATGATCCTGGCGGGATGCAACCCCGTACTGATGGACAAGTACTGCCAGCGGTGACACCGTCTCCTTCGGCATGTCGCCCACTGGATCATGTTGCTTCGAGCCACACTTCGTTTCCGTCGTCTCGTGACCAACATCCAGATTCCAGTTGTTTCAGACATCCTTCAAGGGGCAATCCGTTTGCTGGTATTATGAACGGTACGAACATACCACTCCAGTCGCCAGCCCAAGGTATGCCTCATGATGGGATCCACGATTCGACATGGAATTCTCCGTTTCAACAAGGTCCTCGTGTCAGAATTGATTCTACCCCTTGTGGTCCGTCACCTTTCGCTGGTCATCGTCCCACGACGTCACCGGCAATGGGGTTACCCACACCGGTGCACCACCAACAGATGTTTCCCGCCTCCCCAGGGCTGCCTATGCATCACATGTATCCACATTCGCACATGCCGATGTCTTACCAACCGGGGTATGATGGTACTATGTATCCGATGAGTCATTATCCGACCCACCCAGCATTCCATACCAATAAGCCGAATTCTCGGCCCAAATATACCCTCATGCGTTCGGCAAGAATTAATACGGAAATGGAACGTCGCTGTTGTCCTCCAGAGTTGAAAGCGATTGGATATTGGTTGGTGCATCCACTTCCTCCTACTGTGGGCGTGGTTTGTACCTCCCTTGGTGATCAAGCGGCAACTGATGTGCTCCAATTTGGATTACCGACCGCGATTGGACGAAGATGTCTGGAAGGTTTTGATTACAAAAAAGATGGTCAAGTTGCAGTGAATATCGTTTGCACTGCTCTTGAGTACCGCATCAAACACCAATTTGGATCTTTTTCGCAAGTTGGAGAACTTCAGCGTGACCTACGGTCTGTGATGAACAGTGACTTTGTCAAAAGCAGTTATAATATTGCTACTTGGGGAGTGGATCCTGGCAATGCTCCACCTCCAGGAACATCTAAACGATTTTCTTTGTTGGCGTTCCTTCCGTGCGTTTTGGCAAATCTTTCTTCTGAATATCTCCCACGTGACGGTCTTACATGGCAGCAGATGAAAGAATTTGCAATGGTGACATACTATCACTTTGCACTTTTGGGATGCACAAATCCGACATCGGACAACGGAGATTATGACGATTCACTCTTTTGGAATTCCCTTTTTGGCCATTGTTTGAGATACATCTGTCAATGCGTTCAAAACACAAACTTGGGACGTCGGTGGGATCAGACGCCGGCGCAGTGTACTGCTGCGTACTTTTGTGATTTGAGTGAACTGTTTTATCTATTGAAGAAGTTTGTTGACCATCGTATTGGCCATGACGTGGAAAACTATGGTATTGGTGATGCCTGGCCCACAAATGACCGTAATGCGGTCTTTATGTCAGTCCCGGCGCGTACGAATAGTACAGGTTTTATGGCACAATCGGAGAGTGTGGTTACGGTACTATACTTGCATGCAACGTAGTTGGGGAGCTGGTCGTTATACTGCTCCGAACAAATGTTCGTGGGCTATGTCTTCCTCACCTTTCTTTGCACCTGGGAAACCTGTGCCATTTAAACATCCAGATGTACCAAAGTTGAAGCCGACGGAGCGTACTCGTGATGAAAAAGAAAATGCCCCTTTTAAGAACACGAGTCCGTTGTTTGTCTGGAATCATGCAGCCAATCCTTTGGGACAAAAACTGCCTTCGGACAAGCTGTATCCGGTGGTCCAGAGAGGCACCTATCCTTCTATTGTAGATCCGAAGGCAAAGCGTACTACTGGTAAGCACCCAATTTGTTTAAATTCCTCCTTTGAGGGCCATTGCACTTGTTCCAAACCCGGGACTTGTAAGACCCAAAAGGTGGGCCGTTACGCCGGAAAAACACGTCTTCATATTGATTTGAATGACGCCTGTTGGTCCGCGGCCACTTACAAAGAAGAGGATTGGAAGCCGATTGTCGATTTTATCAAAAAGTATCATACACACATTTTGCCAAGTGAGGCATTCAAGAAATTAACCCCTAGTACAACTTGGTGATGGGACCCGCTGGTGCCGGAAGGGGCCCAGCTGGTGGAGCACGAGTCCAAACCTGTGGTCTCCGATGTTCGAAAAATTGAGGTTCCGCCACGTCGTCGATTCTACAAGTGCCCGCCGCCAGGGATCAAGAACAAGTGGCCTGGTGATTGGGATTGGCAGTACCTACCAATTCGAAATTTGCCGTTGGAAATGGTGCCGTGTCTACCATGGGGAGAGGATAAGAAATACAATACTCCTTCGAAGACAATGCACCAAAACATTCCGGGTAATGGACAGGTCCAACCTACATTTCTGTTGATTGCACACTTGGTTCAGGCGAGTGACTATCTCGATGCAGCGGATTATGCAGTGATGGACCAGGTGACACCGGCCTTAGCGCGCGGCTCCTTGCTCTTGGAGTTTCCTTTTTCTCGTCCCTGGAAGACTACTCGGAAACGACGATGGGGCTTTGGAAAAGTTCACAAGGACCGATACAGCACCCATGCAAAAGTCAATCCCCGCTCTATGATCCACTATGCCTGGGGTTTTCTGTCGCACATCGATCGCCACAATATGATTGTTGCGTTGCCTCAATGGCGTCAATATGCCTCTCTGCGCCGTTTCGCATCTGTCACTTCACTGGCTTGTTTGAAAGAACCCCGCGTCCTTCCAGAGACAGGTATTCCGACCGTGTTGGATCCTGTACGGGCGAAATTCAATTCTGCTGGTCTTCTTCGCTTTGACTTTCTTCATGGTGATTTCATCCGTTGGTTGGGTGGAGAATATGTCAATTCAGCTCGTGACTTCAATGCCGAATGGGATGTCATCGACTCCACATTGCATAATCGCGAAGTCCCTGCTGAATATCCTCCGCTAAAACTGGAAATGGCTTACCGTATCCAGACCGAGGGCGTTCCCATCAAGGCCCAATACACAACGCCGATGTCCGCTACTGTTCTACGTGAAGAATATGATAACCATCCAGCCGTTGCTGCCAATTTTTTGAAAGTCGAAGAGAAGTTTGCGAAAGAAGAATGGAAGGCCTATCACCTTCACTACTTACGGTTCGTCTTCCAATTTATTCCCGGATTGGTTATTAATCCCATCCAGTGGGTTTTTGACAAAGGCAAGGGCCGGATTTGTATTGATTGTTCCAATGGTCCTGACGACTTGGGATCAATCAACACCTACATCCCAAAACCGAAGCAAGATGAAACGGGCGATGAGTGCCCACCCATTCACTACCAGTTCGCGTTCAAACGCTTCCTTCGTCAGATTCTCCGTATGCGCATCACTGAACCAACGAGTCCAATCTTGGTTCATGCTGATGATGTCGAGGCTGCCTTTCGCCGAGTGCTTTATCATCCGGATGTGGCTGTGGCTTTCGCATATGTCTTCTCTGATTATTTGATTGTCCCGGTGGGTCAAGTGTTTGGCTCGCGAAATGCTCCTTCTTTTTACTGTGTCCTTGCTGATCTGCGAGAGGTCCTGGCTACGTGTCGAGTCGACGTCCCTATGGACGAATTACATGATTTGGTTCAAAAATGTTCTATTTCTGTTGATACGACTACACCTTTGTGTACGGTGCCTGCGGATTCCCATCATCCATCATTGTCTATGGATGAACTGCTACGGATGTACAATGCCAGCTATGTTGATGACAATGCGGTCGCTGCCTTTGCTGCCCACATTGAACAAGCCATACATCATAGTGTGATGTCGGCTTTTGAGGTTTTTGGCCATGATCCACGTCGAGGTGACTGCCTTCAAGCGACAAAGTGGGAACCTGAGGTCACCGAAACCTTCTTGTTTTTGGGTTTTCGTATCAATACCCATGATATGACAGTCTCTTGGCCCCTTTACAAACGCGAAGATTTGCACTTGCAGTTGGTGGACATTCTTAAGCGTCGTCCTCGTTGTGTCTCTCCTCGAGAAATGGCAAAGATTGTTGGCATTGTCAGATCTGCATCTGAGATTGCTCCATGGGGCAATTTCTTGAGTTTCAACTTGCAAAATGCACTGACACAAGCGGCCAAGAATGCTTTCTCAGACAAACAA